TTCAATCCCCAGTTCCGCAAAAAAAAAAAAAAAAAAAAAAAAAAAAAATTAAAACAATAATAATGTCGGGTTGGTGCGTCCTGTATCACCAGCCCACCCTCATACTTCCCCAGGTTTGCCTCGCTCTATAATGTATAAAGTGGAAGAGCCAGAAGGTGCAAAGTGAAAGTAAGATTTTATTTGCAAGAAAGAAGCAGCACAAAGCTACTCCAAAGGGAGAGGGGTAGAGGTCCTGTTTTATGGGGTAGTAGTCAGGAACCACACCCCTCCAAGTATAACAGCCCCTGAGTGGGAGGCTGGCTTGTTGCCAAGGATTTGGGTTTTGTGGGCTAATAAGGAACAGGCAGGTAGGGCAACCTGTACAAGGAAATACAGTAGACAGGCCTCCACAGAGACAGAAGCAAAGTCACAGACTGCCTGCTTTAGGGGTAAAATCACAAAACTGCCCGCTGAAAAGGCTACTTTTCACCTACCTAGGCATCTCATCTTTCCCTATAATAACAAGATTAACAACAGGGCTGAAGATGTATTTTGGTGCAAAGGCCCTGAAATATACAAAGTATTACTACACAAACGTGTTACTGTTCAATTCCCCATTTCCACAAAGCCAAAAAGTACAGGCAACACAATTCACTTACGTAATTTTATTCTCAACTGTGTAAGGTGGGAATAAATTAGTTAAGGTTAAAGAGGAAAAACAAGTTTTGTAGCCACCATTTCTACAAAAAGCTGGCAAAACTGGGCTTGTTCACCTCTTTGTGTTACACTAAAGTGCCTCCAGTATTGTTCAATACAAGCAAAGAAATAAAAGAACTTGTTAGCTGCCTTCACTCTGAAATTTTCCCAAGCATTCCTGACAATACTACTACTAAGCACCTCAGATAGCTAAGGCAAGTTCTGTTCCCGTGGGAGTCTCCCTTCCGCCAATATCTCAAAGCCTGGGCAATGCAGACAGTGGCTGAGAGCAGTCCATGGCATCACACTGCCTGAATTTTATTTCCCACTGCTACGGCGTCCTGCTTGGGCAGCTTTGGGCAACTCCCAACCTCTCTGAGGCTCGGATTCTCTTACATGGGTCTGCTAGTAACAGAAAGCCCACTGGACTGTGTTTGACTAATTGTGATATAAATTAGCAAAAGGCCTACGGTGAGAAAAAGAACTTTCCTTAGCGTTCCATTTAGTCCTGAGCTCCTACTCCACATCACCAGCTTCCCCCTTTCTCGAAAGGCTTCCATCTAGAATGATCTTGTTTACTTATCTGCTACTTCATTCTTTCTCTCCCATTAAAACATCAATTCCAGGGCAACCGAAGCTGTTTTCTTATTCACTATTATATCTCCTTCACCTTGCACAGTGCCTGGCATACTTTTGAACGAATGAAACACCCAATAAATGCCAAAGAAGACTGTTTGGTTTGCAATTTCCCTGTACGCAAAACACAAAAATCTCGCTCATATATACTAGGAGCCTGACAGATACACAGGTAAATGGAAAGCTCTTAGTAGTATCCGAAAGGTGCTTGGGAAACTCTGTAGGTTGTTGTATCGAGAGGTTAAATCAGTAGGGGGAGTGTCTGAAGCCCCAACGCTGCACCCTAGGGACTGTGGAAGGGCCCAGCAGAATGCAAAACGCTCAGAAAGGTTGCAAAAACATGCGTCCCGAGCGTTTCCTCTTCGCTAACTTTGCACCCTTTATGGGAAGGCTGATACACCCGCAGGGCCCCACGGAGCAGGGAGACAGCTGTGGCGGGGAGACAAACACCCCAAAAAAGGGAACAGCAGCGCAACAGTAGCAGCAGAGAGCAGACTCGCGAAGGAGACAAGCTGACTCGCAGCGCAGTCCGGCGGGTCCCAGCCTGGCCCACGGGCTAGCCAGCGCTCTCACCCCACCACAAGGAGGCAGGGGCAGGGGGGCGCTGCTTCCTCCCATCTCCGGTGGCCCCAGAGCAGTGGGTCCGTCACGGTCTTAGTCTCAGCGCTAAGAGCAAACTCACCCAGCTGCCCGCTCCACCTCGGCTCACATTCCGGACCCGCCGCCTTCCCCCCGCCCCCCCAGGCCCTTTGTTTTGATTCCCGACTCCGCAGCTCCCGCCGCCGCCGCCAAGCGCACCCTCCACTTCCGCTTCCGCACCGCCCCTGTCGCAAAACCGCCGCCCTTCTCTTCCCCTCGCTCCGCCCCGCCCCGCCCCGCGCCCGCCGCCCCCGCCGCCGCGTCCTCCCCGCGCGAGGCACGCTGGGCGCTGGGGGGGGCGGGGCCTCGCGGCTCTGCGGCCTCGTCAGGCTCAGTCCCCTCCGGATAAACCCCGAAATGGGGGTCTTCCCGAGGGACTCCCTGGCCTTTTTGGCTAAAATCCCGTGTTTTAGTTGACCTTCTTTCTGGCCTAATTTTGTGGAGTGAAAAAGGAATGTCAAAGGAAACAACTATCGGGCTTGTGAGGTGAAGTCGAGCAAAAACCTGCCAAACGGATTGAATCCAATCCAGCTCGGTTGGTTTTTTACAGAAAAGGGATTTAAACCAGGATTTTAGTGAAAAAATCTGGATCGCTTCGGCTGCCCCCGTCTCGTCGCGTGATAGCCCTACTTTATTTTTTTAAACTAAATGGCATAGATTGCCCAGCAGCCTTCGTCTAGTGCAACCTAGCGGCGGACGGAGCCCCGGAGCCGCCCCCGGCCCGCCTCCCGCAGGGCCTGGCGCTCGCCGGCCGCCGCAGCGGGCGCAGATCGCGCGGTGCCGCAGCGAGGAGGCGCGGGGTGACCTTAGTAAGAAAACGTCACTTTTAAAAGCCTTGGTCCGGAGCTCCTCAAAAATAAGTACTTTTCTAGTGGCAAATTGAGCGAGCTAAGTTTTGTGAAACTGGTAACACTTTGTTTCAAGTAGATAGGCGTTAAGTGTGCTTTTGAAGAATAGCGCCTCATAATCATTTTTTTACCTGGCGTCTTTTTTTTTTTAACTCAGGGAAAGTAGTAATTTTTGCAGCTGCCAGCTGCGCACTATTTCCTGTTGCAAATTAGAAAAAGCACATATTATCTCAATCTAGGTACCGTTTAGGGAAGCGTGTACTAGCAGAATATTGCTTTAAGAAGTTTAGCTTTTAAGTCTGTCAAGGACCAAATCCACTTTGCTAGGGAATTTCTAAGTAGAAAATGCCAGATGAGATCATTTTTCTTCCTGAGTTTGCAAGTTGAGGTGGTTTCGTTGGGCAATCTGCACGAAGTGGAGCTTAGTAGTTCCCTGTAGACACCTCTGTAGCGCCGTGCTGAGGAGGGCAAGCTCACACACGCAGCTGAAGAACCCTTTGTGCCTGTGTTTAATTTTCCAGAAGGCGCAGAGCAAGTATGCATCCTCTACCTGCTTAGGTATTATTGTTGAGTAAACTTTTCATTGTGTCTGTGTAGGGGTAGTACTTTCCAACTAGGAATTATAACCCATGAAAAACAACTCAGGGGCTGGGGAGATGGCTCAGTAAAATAGGCGCTTGCCTGGCAAGTGCAAGGGCCTGAGTTCAATCCCCAGTTCTGAAAAAAAAAAAAAAAAAAAAAAAACACCTCAGTTCTAACGTTCTAGTCATTTCAAACTGCCAGACAAGTATATTACTCTACGGGTGATCTTTAATTTTTTTAAAAAAATTGTAGTTGAGTACCTCTGAATACAGATGCTATTAACCAAAAATACAAGAAAGCAAAGTAGATTTGTAATTGCTTTTTAAAAGTTTTTAACTACAAAATATAAGAGGCAGAATCATTGTTTGATTTTGCTTGTCATTCTTTGAAGTCCAGTACTGTCTAGTCTCAATAGGTAAATATAGGGAATAAAAGCATACTAGTAAGTGAAAAGCTAATGAGAAGTCTAAATACTCTTTTGTCTTTTTGAGACAGGGTTTCACTATAGAGTTCAGGCTGGCCTTGAACTCACTTTGTAGCATAGGGTGGCCTCAAATTCTGAGCTATCCTCTTGCCGCAGCCTCCCCAAGTGCTGAGATTATAGGTGTGCAAACTAAGCAGGGTACACTGACCCTTTCAAGGAGACAGTGATGAATCCAAATACATTATAATATTTGGTTAAAAAAAAAGCTTTAAAATATCTAAACTATATCTTAGTTATGGATAACCTGTTCATTTTACTCATACTTAGTAAAAGTAAGTTTCCTAATCTTCATGTTTGTGGAATAAGGATAATGATTTGTTTTTGTGCTATTTACGTGGCTACTTGGCATTTGATTATGTCCAGTTATCCAGTCTTGTTAATAAATGAGTTTCTTCCCAGCAACTTCTCTTCTTCTGTACTTAGGTTCAGTGTTCTGAATTGAAAAATTATGAGTTAAAGACCTGTGGAAGAGAAAATTGAGCTCTCTTGTCTGTCATATCTCAGAGGAAAGAATCAGAAACAGCCATATCCCCAGACTTGGCAGTAAAGAAGCTGAAATAAAGTAGATATTAATTGATTTGTATTAAAAATCATAAAATGAAGCCAGACATGGTAGTCCATGCCTGTAATTCCAGCACTTCTATGCCTGAGGGAGGCGGATCAAGGCTAGTCTGGACTACATGGTGAGACCATATTTAAAAATCAATCAGTAGGGCCAGGGAGATGGCTTAGTGGAATAAGTGCTTCCTTGGCAAGCACAAGGGCCTGAGTTCAATCCCTGGTTCTGCCCCAAAATAAATAAATAAAAATCAATCAATAAATAAGAGAAAGTTTAAAAGTACAATTTTTTTTAAAAGATTTTACCCAGTGACAAATTGATTTCCTCAAATATTTGCTTCTGAGTAATGGTAATCATTTCACTGCCCTCCTTTATTGAAAATTTAGGAAGTTGAGAACCAAGTCATTTAAATGAGTTGATGTATGTCAGTCAAGACCTTATCAATTTGTGCTTCAGCTCATCCATAAACTGGGGTGATTACTCCTTGCCTAGAAGCCTTAGGGGTGGTGACAGTCCCATAAAATTCTAAAGCTAAAAGTATTAGACCAAGTGTCAAGTAAGATGCAAATTACATATTAGTATTTGGGACTAGACTGGAAATACCAAAAAAATATTTTGGTACTTTCCTTAACCCCTTGTGTAGGTGGTGGGTTCTCTTTTGTGTCTCTGGGCTTGTCTTTTAAGGAACTAGGAAGGACTGAAGTAGAATTAGAGAAAGGTCATTTTAACCATAGCAGAGAAGGAAGAGGGAGTCTTTCTTGCCTGTAACAGATGAGGAAGAACAAGGGTGTAAGTGTCCAAGTTTGAAGCTTCATTTCTTAGATACTAATTGTAAGCCTCATGCAGTTCATTTAAGTTTGCACACCTTTGTTTTCTCATCTTTAAAGTATAACAGAAGTGTTTTACTAGCTGGGCATGATGGCACATGCCTTAATTCTAGCATTTAGGGAGGCTGAGACAAAAGGGTCATAAATTTGAGTCCCACCTGGGCAATTTAATGAGACCTTGTCTCAAAATTTAAAAAGGCCTGGAGATATAGCTAGCTAGTGGTAGAGTGGTGCTGGCTTCAGTCTTCAGGCTTCTCCTTAAGAAAGTATTTTCCTGTGGTCCTCCTCCTCTGGTGCTCTGTCCCCCTGTAATCTCCTTAGAATGGCTTTCCCTGACCATTATGTGCAAAGTGTCCCTCCTTTTTTTGTTTTATTTTAAAAAATATTTTATTTATTTATTTGGTAGAGGGTCTTACTATGCAGCTTGGACTCAGTGATCCTCCTGCCTCAGCCTCTGCAGCTCTGGGATTACAGGCATGCATCACCACACCCAGTTTGGG